CCAAAAAGTACTTTGGAACATTCAGGGGCTGCAAATGTAGCACATCTATGCAACTTTCTAAAGCAGTTTTGTGATGCAAATCATTTGACAAGAAATATCACTCATGAGTAAAGTCTTCTTGTGGGTCTCCTCCTTGAAAATGCTTTGAAAAGATATAGCTGCTTTAAAGAGTTACAGACAGGTACACGTGTTCACACCTCGGCACATGCCAAAGCATTTTTTAGCATCAGAGGTAAAGCGTTGCACAACCTTACTGAGCAACACTCTTTAATCCCAAACAATTCTGTAAGACAGCCATCCATCCATCCATCCGTCCATCCATCCATCCAAATGTATTGGCCGCCCAACTCCAATGGACTCTGGGCAGCATACAAAACTAGGAAAAAAATGTAAAAACTGCTAAAACCATTAAATCAAACAGACAACCCAGGCTAAAATGATCTATAAACAACAAAACCTGCAAAACAAAACAGGCTCCATTAAACAAATCATAAACATCAACCCCAGGCCTGGGACCAAAGCCAGGTTTTCAAAGCTTTCCGGAACCCCAGGAGAGATGGTGCCCTCCTATCTCTGGGGGGATGCTGTCCCAGAGGGTCACTTCCAAGGTCCCACAAGATGGCAATTTTTAATGGAGGGGACTTGGAGTGCACCCACTCTGCTGGAACATATTGGACAGGCAGAAACAATTGGAGACAAGCAGTCTCAGATATCCAGGACTTATGCCATACAGGGCTTTATAGGTAATAACCAGCACCTTGAATTGCACCCAGAAGCCGACTCGCAGCCAGTGTAGCTCGTGTAGCAGTGGTGGCCCATGGACACACCAAGAGGCACCTGTTATTGCTTACACCGGTGTATTTTGAAGCAGCCATAGCTTCTGGGTGGTCTTCAAGGACAGCCCCATGTAGAGCACATTGCAATACTCCAATTGTGAGGTGACCAGGGTATGAGTGACTTTCTGAAGGGCCTCCCAATCGAGGAAAGGGCACAACTGGCGCACAAGATGAACCTGCGCAAAAGCCCTCCTGGCTACAGCTGCCACCTGCTCTTTGAACAGTAGCTGTGAGTCCAGAAGGACACCCACATTGCGCATTAGCCAGCTTTGCTAGCTATTTTAGCAGAAGACTTCAGGAGAGGCTTAACATGACTGCTTTAGAGCAAATGAGTTGCACAGTTTGAATAAACATTAAAATAAGCCTATTTTGAGAGTTTAAGGTATCCATTACTACTTTAGGTTTGGGTTTCACTTGTGTAGTTTCTCTTTCAGGGAGGGAAAGAACATAACAGAGAAGGGCTGTGTCTCAAATTGATGCAAGGAAATAGTCACATATAGTTTATGATGCAGCTATTTGATTTTTGTCCCTCCATTTCAATTAATTCAATATATCAATATGTTGACACAAGTATTAATATACTATCTTTACACTGTTATAGTAAAGTACAAGATCTTGCTATTGGACAAATTAAATTCACTTTGGAAAATGACGTACAAGCTATCATTAAGGAAGTGGCTTGGAATAAGATTTGGGCTTACAAATAACTGGTGGATGGTATGTGATTCCAGTGAAATTGGAGTATATAGCTAAAAAGAAGTAGATTCTGCTGGAATAATTGCAGTGAAGAACATGCATATTTTCATTTGTGCTGGATATCCCCATGATTAGAAACTTTGTGAGTTTAATATTTACAGAAATGTGAACATCCATCAATCAGGAAATCAAAGGAGATCCACAGTGAGCTTTGTTGGAAGTATTCCTTGAAAACAATAAGAAAATAACATTCTAATGAGTTGATAATATTGTTGGCAGCAAGAATTGTTATAGGAAGAACTAGAAGGAGAGAATGTTATCCTTAGATGAATGGTATAATAAAACTTTTATGTATTGCACTGGCAGAAAAAGTAATTTGTTACATCTGCATCTAAACCATAGTTTTCTTGTCAAAAAAACTACAGTATGCCCACTTGTTAAGTCAGATATGGCAAGAAATTTTTGAAGAATTATAAAAAGGTCTGAAGTTGGAAATTCATGGTTTAGATGAGAAATATATACCACTGTAAATAAGATCCTGAAATAGATATTTATAACGCATGAAAGATTTTGCACTGCATACTGTGAAACCATTTTACATTATGCTATTTTAGTGAATAACTATTCCTTCAAAAACAACTACTTTGTTGAATGAGAATGGGCACAAGAAGTCCTTTCAGCTTTGAGCAGTTTCGTAAAAATAAACAGCTGTTTAATGGCCCAAGCTTGATTTTCACTCTTATTTTGTGATTCCTTTCCTTTTTCAAGCTACAGGGGACTGGGTCTGGTTTTTTAAAATTAGTTTTAACAAACAGTAACACAGATACTGGAATTGTTATTCAGTTGTATTTTTAATACAAATAAACAAGTGATTGAGATCTTCCCACTGTTCTCAGAGCACATCCACATGTTCTCCCTAACTTCAGCTCAAAGGGGTTGGTGCCTGTTCTTTACATCCTGACGACGCAGCTTCCCTCCCAGCCCATCGCCAAGGCTGGCTAACTTGGCCTCTATCTGATCCAGTGTGAAAGCGATGCCTGCCATCTGCTGCCACCACGAGCTTTGCTATTTACACTATGTGGTGCTTCAGCAGCAACCGAGCTCCAGCAGCGGGGGCTCCTATGGGGCCCTTTCAGCTGCTCCAGTCCCACCTTCCCTTGGGGTAGGTAACAACAGAGAAGCAGATTATGTGATGCATACTTGATAGTCGGGTAATTTCCAGCAATACTCATCATTGTACAATAAATAAATGCTATCCTTGAAGTAATATTTGCCCTCCCTGAAGTTTAGAAATAAATATCTAGATGTAACTCTATTCTTCAATACGCACCATGCAATCTGCGTGTAAGCCGCCATTCCTTCATGGGTCACCAACAGTGACACACTGCCTCCATCACCCTTCTGCACGGATAGGGCCCTATCCATTGCAGTGGAGAGGAGCTAGAGAGCGCACCAAGCAACAGCTGGCTAAAATTCCTTCTGGAGGAACCCTGCCCCACCATGATGTACAAGATAGCAACTGTTTGCTTTTCCTACCCTGCAGCTGGGTTCGTGAGAGAGGGAGCATGGCCATCGTTGCTACACTTTCAGTCAACCTGCATAAACTGTTGAGTAGTATCACTTGCTGGCCTCATTCCCAGGGTGGAGCACAGACCAGCTATTGAGTCAGAGCAAATTAAACCAGCACATTTCTGAATATGGCCAAGGGGGTTAGGGATGAGATGTGTGTTGCAACACCGCTGCGCAAATTTATACTTCTTTGTATATCGGATTGGGAACTTAAACTTGGAGAATATGCAGCGATGACAAAACTAACAGCATATATACACAATAGAAGTTTAACTAAATTTAAGCAAGACTGGTTCCCATGCATACAGCACATCAAGCAGCATGGCAACTATGATCACTCACAGACTGGCTTCTAAGGAGGCCTGAATGTCTACAAATATTGCAGATTGGCAGATGTATAAAAAGGGGGATCAGAAACGCAATCATTTTTTTTTCTACTTTGTTGGTATTTTAATTCTTGTTAAATTTGCTCCATTATCTATTTTTTCCCTTCATTAATGCGTATGCGTGTGTGTGTAGTGTACACAGATGCACATACACACAGAGTAACAATACAATGGATACTTTAAGTAATCAGCTCAACACTTTATCATACAACAAATAATTTGAGGTGAGTTATACTGGTTCATTTCTCAGTCTTATACTCAACTTTGGATGAAAAAGCTGAATAATGTTATGCTTGTAATATTAACATCCTCAATTGTAATTAATATTGATAGAATACTTATTTTTCTTTTCTCTATTCTCCGTAAGCTGCCTAAATAATAGAATGTCAATTATCTTTAATCATGTTACATACGCAACACAGTATGGAAGCAACACACTGTATTAAGATTTATAATAGCATAATAAAAAGATTTATTAAGATTTATAATAGCATAATAAAAAATTTAAAAAAACGAAAACTCTACTTCTTTGTGACATCACAAAGCGAGTACGAAAGGGCGGAGCCAGCCGCGTCTACGAGAACCCACCACTTTCTTCAAAAGGATGAAAGTTCGGTAGATGCCGCGACGCCCATAGAGAAGGGGCGATGCTGCTGACGTCAGCCGGACCCTCTTGCCCCCGTTGTACCGTTACGTTACGGCACTGACATTTTAGCACCATCGAGGCTAGCTGTACGCCCTTCCCTCCCGGAGGCATCCCGCAGAGCGTAATTCAGTCCCGCAAAGGCGAGAGGCTGGACTGTGAGGCTCTACCCCGCCACGGGTCTCGTCGGGTCCTGCCCCTGCAGTGATTGAGACCACGGGGCGTGGCGGAGGAGGGGTGATCGCCATGCTGACTGAGGGCGAGGAGGACTTCCAGAGGTTTAAACATGCGGGAAGGCGACCATTTTGGAGAAGGGCAGGGAGCGAGCCGAGGCCTCGCAGCGGCGAGGCGGGGCCGGCGGTCTTCCCGGCGTCCAATCCGGGGAGGAAAGCAA